GCGTGGTACCCTTCAGTTGGAGAGTTTGGCTTCTTGTGCACTCCTTGGCATCTACTAATTTCTGCCATGCTGACTTTGTTCAGGATGAGTTCTTATCCAAGTTGTCTGCTGAGACAGGTATAAATATACCAAAAACCCATTTTTGCCATTGGTTTTGAGGAATAATTTTTTAATTAAAAGAAATTCTGGTTCAGAATAATGCCAGTCTCATACATGACCTGTTTTGGGTGCTGGCAGTAAAACCATTTTAACACTAAAATCTGTATTTGTTTGCCAATTTCATCTTACTTTCTTTGTAAATCCAAGACAGGGTGAGCTGTGGTGGCCCATCTCTGAAGATCTTACTGTCCAAATTTAGAACAGGGAAAATGGTGAAAGGACTAGTAGATGCAATTTTACTGCTAACTGCTGTTTATGAACTGTGATTTTTTTGGTTCTCTGATAAAGGAATTACCTTCACATCTAGTCGGATAGTGGAGATGGTAATCAATAAAGCATGCAATTGTATGTATTCTAGTGTGAATTTATGCCCAGTGGGTGGCTTAAATGAGGACTATTTCTGTGTAGATGACACTATTCTGTCCCTAATGCCAGATGAGCTGTAATCATGCTAAGCTAACTGCAACAGGGGTATTGTGTGGGATGTTTTCCATATATGTCATTAAGGAATTTGAAGAACTTGGGGGAGGCAGCAATACCTTTTCTGTCCGTGGAGCTGATGTCTCATTCTGATAGCACCTGACCTTAAGGCACTGCAAGATCTGATGTTATCTGAAGGCCAACGCAGTCTTTAAAGCGTAACTGTGCAGGAGTTGGGTAAGAACATCAGGTTGGGTGTGCCTGTGCTGCACATGCATACATCCCCAATCCCAGCCTCTGCCGGTACTAGGCATGCTGTCCTGCTACTTATAGTGATTCTAATTTGCAGGATGAACTAAATCTGAAGTCAATTTTGTAATGTGGTGTCCTGTGAATTGGAACTGTTTGTTACCAGGTTGGGCAGATGGCTCAGATGCCTTGTTGTGTTCTGCATGGACCAACACAGTCCTTTCTCACTGTAGCTGTATGATGCTACTCAGTACTGTTGAAATACTGATTTATGTGATTTGCTTCCCCAGGAGCTTGGCCATCACAGGCATTACCTGTGGCTGGTTGAGAATGCCATCACTTTGCTGCCTTCTGTATCCAGTTGGGTGGTGCTCTCTGATTTTTCTCCTGCAGTTGAGTTTCTTAATGTGATGGTGCTCTTCTGTGTGCATGCGGTCCAGGTAGTACAGAGAAGAGAGATGTAGGTGAGCATACATGTGCTTTCTTGAACCACACATGTTGGTGAACTTTGACTTGTCTTTGTGGCCTCCGCTCATATAGGCAGTATATTCTAGTTCAAAGGTCACAGCTCACTTTGTTAGGAGAAGACTTGTTAAAACCATAAAAGTCTTAATCTTGCACACTTTTTTTCTTTTTTTTGCCCCTGGAAAAGGAAATTAATCATTAAGCTGTACCCACCTCCTTTATTGGTCCCTGGAACTCAATTGCTGCTCTCTGGCAGCAGGCTTGGAGCTTGCAGCCCTTCGTTTGAGGGCTAACTGTGGATTCATAAGGCATTCTTGGAAAAACGAGTAGGCTTCTATCTAAAACGTGGCTACAAATGTCTCTTCTATAGGCAATTCCAGAGTGTATTTATAGTCATAGTATGCTTTATGAAGAGTCCCTGGAAATGTCTTCTTTAATGTTTCTTTAATGTTTAATTCAGATAGGACAGCATAGAAGAAGCTTCTCAGCTTGTGTGGCAACTGAAATGAGAGTATAAGGATGTATAAGTACATTAGTAGAACACTGGAAGGTGAAATTGATTGGAGTATGTGTTGAATCAATACGTGTATTCCCAAAAGGGCCTTTCTTAGCGAAATGTTGCTTTTGACCATGTGGAATAACTTGATTGTTTTTTTGCATTTGTCACAAGCAGAGGCTCTTCTCAAGATCTGGAAAAAAATTGTGTGCTTTTATTCTAATTAAAATTGTCTATAGATTTGAGTTTGTTGGCTGGGTTTTTTTCGGTAGCTATTTTTTTTGCATTAAGTCACCTCAGATCCATACCTTTAGGATGTAGCTTTCCATCCCTTCCAGATGAACTTGGCAGTTACCTGGGAAAGACGTTAAAAGCTTTGATGTGATCTCTATTAGGTGCTAGGTAATTTGTGAAATAATCACATAGTTTTCTGTCTGCTTATCCAGAAATCAGCTACTAATAGTCAGCCACAGGTAGCAGGTATGTCATGTGCCTGCTCCTGAATAGCTGCTATTCACAGCCTGGTCTGTCAGCATGAGGACACAAAATTCAACTTTAATTCATCAGACTGTGAAATTGTAGTAATTGGAGCTTTAGTGCATGAACTATTTCAGATCTGGATGCAATAAAATTCTATGGTTTCATGAACTGCAGCCATAGTGATGCAGTTAAGCAATCTTGAGAGTAATAGAGAAGAGAAAGCTTTGATGGTTTTTCCTCTGCAGCATTGGCTCACCATGTCTGTTGGTTTTTGTGGTGCTGATGCCCCTCCTCTGTCCCCAACAGCTGCTGGCTCATGTTTGCTGAGGTCTATCAAATGAGTTTGTGGACCAGTGCTGTAAAGTCTATTAGGGTATAATAAATAACCTTCTGCAAGCCATTGTATTTCCAGCCTGGATCAGTTGGGTGTTGGAAGGACACTATGCTGAAAATCAGATTGGCCCTAGTTGTGTGAGCCAGAGGGCAATGCTGATGGTTTGGAGTGGGAATGAGTGGACCTGGGGCAATTTCTTTGGCTGGCACTGTTCCTGAAGAAAGCAGTGTACAAACCTGTGGCCTTTGCTAAAGCTTTAAATTGCCATCATTTGAGCTGCAATGGGGTAAGCAAGTGTTCCTGCGCCTGTTCCAAAGCACAGTAATTTTCTGACTTAAGCCCCCACTGCATACAAACCTGGCCTCAAAGGTTACCTACATCTGGGCTAAGCACTGCTGCTGAAGAAGTTCCTACTGTGTCTTTGCTGTTTTGTTTCCACACTTGCACTGATTCTGAAGTCCCTCCAGCTACGGTAGGAACTCCTCTGGTTGAAACTTCATTTTGCTCTGCAGCTGGATGTCTGTGTTGGCAAAAGGCAAGAGGTAGAAATGAGGAGGAAGGTGGTGGTACAGTTTATACTCAGTGGCTGCTTAGCTATAGCATAGTTGTACCCTAAGAGCAGAGCCTCGGTTCTGAAAAATTACTTTCAAGATATTAATGCCAGGCTTGAAATACAGACTTGCTCCAGTGTCTGAAATGAGCAGATGTCTCTCTCCAAATGATGCAGAGTCTGGTGAGGCCAGCAAGTATGTGTGCTTTTACTGATTCATCAGCTGTTACAGAAATTAACAGAACTCTGGCTTCCTTTCCCATATGATAGTATGAATGCCATAGGTAACTGGTTTGATTCTGTCTGCTGGCCCCCACCCCTCATTAATTATTTGCTGTTGTCCTTTTTTCATGTATTTAAAATCAGCCTCTTTTCTAGGTGTTGGTATTTCTTTGCTTACAATATTTTAAAAATAAATCTTTCCTTATATGTGGCTATAAACTTTAAAATTTATATAAAAAACTATAAAATTTAAATACAGTCCAGAGAAATGTGAGCAACATCCTAGATACCTGCTTGTCCTAGCCCTCTTTTCACTGTGGTGGTGTTATTGATACAAGCATTTATTGAGATGTACTGTCTTGGTTTCCTTCTTGTCTTCTAGCTGCTCCTGTGCACATCTGGCAACATCCTTCATAATATGTTTGCATACCAGAGAGTTACAGAATTGTATGCCAGTCTTAATCTATTAGATTGCCTAATAGGTTATAATTTTCCTAAAGACAGAATAAATCTAGTCTGCAAGAAGTAAGACTCGCCACCTTTATGCTACAGATAGGGGGTTTATATCTTGGGAGAGTATTCTTTCACATGTAGCTATTCCATTGTTGGGTACCTATTCTGTAATTTTTAGGAATACAGATAGCAATTTGCATCTAATGGCTGCGTTTCTGTGTTTTGAGATCTGATCTTTAACTTAGTTCTTTTAACAAGTAGTCTAGTTAAGACCATGATGTTTCCACACACAATGTTGAGTGAGCTCCTGCCTTGTAGCTGTGAAGTTTTTCTGTCATAGTCACAAATATTATGCATTTACGAGAATGTAATCATTCTTGAAATGGACCCGCGCTATATAACATGCATTATACAACCAGTCAAGCTCTTATCTTCAGGAGACGGTATGTAAGTAGCAAGAGGACTTTTGGTGTGGATTTTATGCAGAAAGCCTTGCTTTGTTCTGTGTGCTGACATATATGCAATGTTGAGACTGTGTATACAATGACTTTTTTGTCTGTAGTGTCATGTCCACCTCATGGATGAGTACAGTGTTTACATCAGCATCCTTAGGCTAATGGCTGTGGAGACACATAAATTATGCTTGTTTTGTTGCAGTAATATAGGCTTCCAGAGTTCAGTCTGTTCTGATATTTTCCTGCCACTTTTTCAGTTCTTACAATCCTGAGAATACATTGTTCAGTGTAATAAAATGATTAATTTCTATTTGGTTTTTCCATGTAGTGAGCCTGGGAAGCCTCACTGTGCTGTTATTTGTGCCTGCCTTGTTCTTGGTGAAGAGCGAAGGCAGTTTTTTCATTTTGGTTGGCCTGGATGTAAGCAATGCTCTCTGTGTAGCTTCACAAGACAAAGAACTTTAATGAGATCTTTAAACTACACTAAATTGGTAACTGTGACTTTGGTTATATCGACAACTTAGCAGCCTCGTATATGGAGACTTGCCAGTGTTTGTCGGTAACGGCTGAACCTAGCTGGAGGTACTTTGAGCTGGGCATTGGGGATGCAGAGTTTATAGCTGATCAGAGGGCCAGGGGCTACTCTGAAATGCCTATCTGTCATTTCTTGAATGAATGTCTCACAACTGCCTCTCTTAAATTTTTTATTATAGATAAATCATATTGTGCCCAATGGAGGATTATACAAAAGGCCTTTCAATGAAGATTTTGAAGAAACACCGATGCTGGTTGCTGTGCTGACCTACGTTGGATACGGTGTTCTCACTCTCTTTGGATATCTGCGAGATTTCATGCGGCAGTGGAAGATTGAGAAGTGTCAAAATGCAACAGAAAGAGAAGAACAAAAGGTAACCACTGGCAAATAATGGTCAGTAGGAAATGAAGCGGCTGAGGCTATGGCTTGAGCATTTCTTTGGGGATTGATGATGTTCAAAGTATTCAGCTGTTAATCTTGTCTTCTGAATGCCCCAAATATTATGCTAGTACTGCTGTGTTGTTAAACAAGATAATAGTTTTTAGTTTGGTTTTTTTTTCTTTTTTGGTGGAGCAGTTCCCAGATCTGGTTCAACGGTTATATCAACATGCTCAGAGGTGCCCCAGCCACAGAAACAAGGGTTTGAGGGAGAGAGGCTGCATGCACCAGCATCAGCAGCTAAAGAAGCGCGTATCAAAGGATCTGGTTTGAGTTTAACAACAGTGGGAGGTTTTCTGATGCTGCTCTGGTGGCTTTGTTTTGGTTTGGAAGCTATTAATTCTCTTTAGCCTAAGCAGTTACAAATAAAAGCTTATGGATGAGAACCAGAGCGTAAGCTGGATGACTTTAAATTCATCTGGAGTCCAGAACACCAGCAGGTTAGCTGGTGAGTAATCTAAGGTACTGACTGCTGACTCGCTCATAGCAATTAAAAAGAATTAATTCGTAATAAGACCTATTCACAAGAGCCTCTGTTACCAGGTGAAAAGTCTTGCCTGCTTCAGCAATTGGTCTCCTAGTTTTGAATAGTTCTAGAATATTTTTAGAGGCCTTTATTCCCCCCAGGAATTAATTACTGTTAAGAGAGCTACTGTTTAACCTTGCAGTTCGCAAGCTACTTCCTGCTAACATTTAATGTGAGCCCTTTTAGCACAGTGTGAACACCAGTCAGCTTTGCTGGAAAGGTGGAGTAAATTGGCTTATTCTTGCTGATGAGGGTTCTGTTTTTCTCAACCGCTTTGGGGAGCCAATCTGGTTTATAAAATGTTAAGGGAGTTTGTTTTCCCGTTGCTGTTTTCAGGCTAGCAGAAAATAGGAGGGGCGGTAAGGACATCGCAGTAATGCAAACAAATAATCAAGGCTGAGAGAGGGGAAGGAAAAACAAGGAAGGTTTCTTTGGAGTCTCTTTTTGGAGGGAGCACTGGAGTGAAGTGCATGTCATTTCACAGTAGATTAGCTAAGATGCAGTAAACTAACCAATACCTAAAATTACTTCACAGTATCTTCTTTGTGTGAGCATTGTGAGGTAGAATTAAGCTGATTCATAGTGAGGCACTTAATTCCAAAACAGAAACATTCTCATAGGAGTTTAATGAGGAAAAGGTATTTCATACAGTACGGTAGTTTGTTCACACTATTTCCAAAACTGACTTCTGGAATCTGGGAATAAAAATCTTGGATTCCTTTTAACGGTTACAGTATCCCACTAAGGATTGCTGACTAAATTTCAACTTGAAATTTGATGTGTTCATTTATGTCATTTGAGCTACTCTGGTTAATGTCACCTGAGAACGTGACACCCCTGTATTTTAGAAGTTGATACAGGAGAGAATAGTCGAACTAGTTGCAAAAAGTTACAAATAGTTGCAGAAATCTACCAGGTCATAAGAATTAAGGTTTAATTATTGGTCTGTACTCATGGTACTTGAGGATTATAAAGAGGTAACTGAAGTGTTGGTGCAGTTACTCTATACTGTAGTTGTTAAATTTCTATTGCACAGGTTTAAGAAAAGCTTGTTGTGTTACCAGTATGTAAGGTGCAAAACTGCTTACGGGAATCCTTTTCTGTGGGAGAAGCCATGACTCTTACATGAGAGTGTACAAAAGGAGGAACTCTGGCAGTAGGTCTAATTTGGGAATACATTACTGATACTAGTCTTTCTGTGAAGATTGTCAGAGAGGACATGGAAGCACAGAGTTTGTTATGAACTGATTATGCTATTTCTAAAAGAAATTTAGCTTTTATTTTTTTTTATAAATTAACACTGCATCTTACCCTGAAAGACATTTGCTTAACCTTATACCTGCTGGACAAATGGCTTGAAACCCTTTGAGTTAGTGTGTTGGTTGTGGCTTGCAGGGAAGAGATGCATGTGTTCTGGTTTTGCTCTGTACATAGGATGTCTGTGGATGGAGCTAGTAAGAATTGCCAGTGAATATTGCGTAAGAATGAAAAATAGGAAATCCTGTTTAAAAACATTTTGGCGTTGAAGAAATCTCAGCCTAGTGTACTTCCCCAAATCACGTTTCTAGTGCTTAGGTTCGAGTAGCTGTTTCTGATAATCAGGCAAATAGAAAAGGGGTCACGTGAAGTCTAGAACATACAGTACTTATCCTCATACTCTGCTGCTTTGAGCTTTGTTTGCCTGCAAATGAATTGATGAGAGCACATTGCAGTGTATCTAGTGTGGGAGCCAGGCTTTATTTTCGTGCGGGGAGGGGGGGGATACACTCAATGATTTGTTTTGAAACTGTTTCTCAGAGATTTTCAAATATTTAAATCTCTCAGCCTGCTGGCTGACAGCCCAATCATGTTTTGGTAAGGGAATGCAGATATTGGTGCGCAGCAAAGGCTTGAAACTCATGATTATTTTTTTCTATTAATACATGCAAATCACAGGAGCCCTGGGGTTGCTCTGGCGGACTTTTGACCTCTGTGTGGAAAGTAACATTTTTATTATTTAAATTCTATAGAGGCGGCTAGATGATTATGATTTTCTTAAGTATCAAACATTTTTTGAAATAGTTAATAATTGCTTAGGTGAAAAGCTCAAAGCAAAGGCAGTGGGGGTAGCTGAACAGCGTGTGATGACCTCCTTTGTGAGCAAAACAAAATTACGTACTGTGAGGAAGTATTTCGTGAAGGGCTGAATGAGCTTATCCTGAAAGTCACGGAATTGAAGTATGTGAATTTTCTGTGGTGTGTTTCTGAAGGTGATCACAGCTAAAAGCATAATGTAAACTTATGTCCAAAGCATAGTATTAAAAACAAACACAAAAAAAGCCACCTTCATTTTTTGTGTATTTTGGAGGGCAGTTTATTTCAGTAGAGAAAATCCTTGCTTAAATCGTCGTTTAGTATTGTAATCTTAGTTTGTGCATCAGAACTAGAAACCAGAAGTGACCAAATTAATTTAAAGAGCAGGCTTTCCAGCAGGTCTATATTTGGACTGACTCTGAGGGTGGGTAAATTCCTTGCAATTTATGAAAGCCTTGCATTGAAATTAATGATTCCAGGAAAACCTAATATTCACTCATAGTTGGAACACAAAAGGGTCAAAAGGGGCAGGCTTTGCTAGTACTGATTTCCAGGAAATAGTCTGATGGGTTTTGGCTTTGTTTAAAATATATCCAACTGGGCTTTTCCTGGAAACCAGTGTTGTGTAGCACATCCTCTCTGAAGTGTTATCAGTCTGTTTTAGGCATGGGTAGGCAGCAAGATTAACAATTCTCCATTACCCTGGAATCAATTTAGGCAATTTAATGTAATGTCTGGTCATACAATGTATGTATCTGCAGAAGGCCTGTAGGATTTTATAGGCAGGGTGAAAACACTGCTTCTACCTTTTTTTTGATCTGATTTGCCTGTTGATACCTTGTATGTTTTGTGTATGGGAGCAACTGTGCAAATGGATACGGTAACTAACACAGAATGTTAGGGGCTGGAAGGGACCTTCAGAGGTCATCTAGTCCACCCCTGCCAAAGCACGTTCACCTAGAAGGGGCTGGACAGGAACACATCCAGTCGGGTTTTGAATATCTCCAGAGAAGGAGACTCCCTCTCTGGGCAGCCTGTTCCAGTGCTTTGTTACCCTTGAAGTAAAGAAGTTTTTCCTCATGTTGAGATGAAATTTCCTGTGTCCCAACTTGTGTCCGTTGCCCCTTGTCCTGTCACCAGGCACCACTGAAAAGAACCTGGCCCCATCCTCTTGACACCTGCCCTTTAGATATTTATAAGCACTGATAAGATCCCCTCCAAGTCTTCTCCAGGCTAAACAGCCCCAGGTCTCTCAGCTTTTCCTCCCAAGAGAGGTGCTTCATTGCCGTGATCATCTTTGTAGCCCTCTGCTGGACTCTCTCCACTAACCTCTTTATGCTCACTACCTTGCCCAGTTAGAACATGTTTCAATCACCTGGGGTTTTCAAACACTTTTTCACAGGAATCCAGCTGTAGGAGTATCTCAGGGGCAGTAAACTGAAGTGTTTTGCTCAATGTTGTCTTAGCATCTGTATAGCTCATCAGCTTGATGGTGTAAGGCTACCCCCAGTTATTGCTCCACTTTTTCTTGACTCACATGGCATTGAGATGGAACTAGTCTTTCTGCTTCCTTCTAGAAGCCTGAAATTTGTTGCAATTGTCTGCTTGGTTTCCAGAGTCAGTTTTGTGTTATCAGGGAATGCATTATGTGAATTGCAGATAAGCCCGGCTGGTGCTTATGGCACCATTTGTTAGCTTAGGTGCAATGCTGTGAAAACCTGGCTCTAAAAGCAGCGTAATCACCGCCTTTGCATGTCACTGTGCCCCAAGCTAATGGTTGCAAAGCTGTCATTATGACCTTCACTTGTTGTAGTATTAATTTACAGGATGATGAAACCTTGGGTTCCCAAATCACCTAAGGTGCTGCACCCGAAGGGAGAATTTTATTCTTCCCTTGTTTCAGTCTTTCTTGAAATTGCTCTGCCTTTCAGGCTTCTGGGAGACCACTATTACTTAGGTTTCTTCATCAGGCACCACCTCACTAGTAGGGGTTGTGTTCTAGGCTTAAATCAACAGAAATTAAGCTATTCAGGATTTCTTAGCTCCATGTTCATAAGAATTCAAATAAAAGAATATGCTGCTTTTGCTCTCTCCTTTGTATAACCTTCACAGTTGTTTGACTGTTCTTACTCTGAAGATTGCTCAAAGAATCAGTTCACTCCTAGAATATTTTTCCTCCAAATGAAGCTGTTCCATCTCGGACTGATATTCTTAAGGTCTGTTATGGCTAAAAAGAGTGTCGGATCTGAAACAGGATGAGAACTGGTGGAAAAATAACAGTAAGCTCTGAAGGCCATTTAAAGGTGACAATGATTGCTTCCAGCAGCAGGACACTT